GATAGTGCCCATTATTAATTTTCAACATATTGTGCGACATCTCTGCTTATGCACATAGTGCAGGGGTATATACGGTTTCAGTGTCTGCCACTAGTGAAACTAATACAAATCCGTCGTTTTTTTTTCAAAAACACGTCTCAGTAAAATCACTCTAATTTGGACTACACTAATATTGTACAAAAATCTACTTTTGTCAACATAAATATGAAAATATTATCTATGTTCTCATATTAGATTTTTAAGATAGCAACAACAATCATTTTTATATTTTATAATWTTCTACGACCCATAAAAAATGACTAAGTTAACTTATACCTTACTATCAAACACAGATAATATTGTTCTCCTTAAGTGGTCAAAATTTTATTTTTGCGCTATAACTACCAAATAAGAGCGAWTCTCCTAAAACATGTTTTTAGGTGGAAAAACGAGTGTGTAGCGTCTTCTTAGATATAAATTTTTTAATAACAGTAGATGTYATGCTACTTCTACATATTTTAAAGTATAGTGCTTAAGTAGTTAATCCATAAAATATTTTTATAACTTTATTTAAATTATTTATTTTACAATCAATATAAAGAAATTCAATATGATAATAGTACATATAGTACAATMGTATTATTGCAATATTTAAAAATAGCTTTAAAGTAATTTAATTTTAAACAACTTTCATGATCATTTTAGAGATATATAATATCATAAATATTATCATTGAGKACAGAATATGAGTATCAATACTCAATGGTACATAACAAAAACATATAACTTGATACATACATTTTATATTGGTATAAAAAATGTATTTAATTGTATACAATATATGAAACTGGATTTAAAAACAAAGTAATATTTATACATATATAAAAAATTCAATAGCCATAATAATTATAAAAATCAATAAGCAACTAAATAAAAAAAATTAAAAAAGACCAAGATATTTCAATATTAATGAAATACTAGTAAATATTTTAAGAAAGATATTGGCAATAAATTAAAAAAAAAAAAAAAAATGTTTTTCAAGTTAACAATGATATTGAACAGTAAGTAGAAAACACTTATTTAAAAGATTGCATATAAATATGTTGCACAAAAAAACTTTATTAGGCTCATACATTACTACATTTGATGAAATCTTTTCATATTATGAATAATAATTAATTTGTTGCATTTTTAAATTTTTTTTTATTACATATAGCTTTTTTTTGACATAATAGAATGATTATTTTATTGAATATAAATGTTTTAAAAAAAAGATATGATAAATATAAATATTAAGTTTATTTTTGCAACCTATATGTATATATACATATRAAAATCTTAGTTTGAATATTTGGAGAAACGTTGCAAATTTGCTCTTGGCTTTAAAGATAATTAAAAATAAGCAGTCGTAATGTAGAATTAAACTCATAATTTTATTGACCATGTCCTCAATAACATGAAAACTCTCTAATAACTAATTTCATGTAACTCAAATTTCTAGATCTATAAGCAATTTTTTTGTTTTTTTTTTTAAGAGTTTATCAACGAGAATAAGTGTGTGTGTCTTTTTATCCCACGGACAACCGTTTCGACGAGCATATTTTAAACAGTCCAAATTTTTATTTTTGACAGATGCGGCACATGTTGACTCATTCCACGGGCACCCCTTTTCATGAGCATATTTTAAGCAGCTTAGGTTTCCTTTGGCTGCAGCAATATAGGTTATATGTTCATTCCACGGACATCCATTAGTGTGAGCATACTTCAAACAGTCCAAATGTCCTCTCTCTGCAGCTTTGTAGCTTGTACTTATATCCCATGCGCAACCATTTGTATAAGCATATTTCAAACATTCTAATTGTCCACCGGCTGCAGCTTTAGAGCATGTATTAGGGCTCCATACACAACCATTTTTGTGTGCATATTGCAAACAGTTTAAATGTCCATTATATGCTGACCATGTACATGTGTCTTGGTTCCACAAACATCCATTTTCAAAACAATATTTTAAGCATTCAAAATGTCCATTAGACGCTGCCAGCATACATGCTCTTTCATCCCATGGACATCCATGTATGTGAGCATATTTTAAACATTCTAAATGTCCACCTTTCGCAGCATAGTCAGTTGTACTTAAGTTCCATGGACAGTTGTTTTCATGTGCGTATCTTAAACAATTTATATGTCCATTATGTGCAGCATTAGAACATGTATGTTTGTTCCAGGGGCAACCATTTTCATGAGAGTATATTAAACATTCTAGTTGGCCATTTCTGGCAGCAGCAGAACATGTCCTACTGTCCCAAGATAATTTCATTAGACGAGCAAACTTCAAACAGTCCAAATGTCCATATTTTGAGGCAGTGGTACATAATTCAGTATTTGATTTATTTTTTATTTTTTTCCCTTTTGTAATTTGAATAAGTTCATCACAGCAAATCTTAATATTGATTTTGATAACATTATTGGGGACAGTGTTATACCAGTGTTTTTCATTTTCATTACATGAAAGATACGCAAATTTAGCTAGTGTAAACATGATGTTTGTGTAATAATTTGTATTTACCAATGTTTAGTTTAAGGATTTTTTAATCATAACAGAATAATAGTTTCTGATTTTAAATAAATCTTGATAGTGTAAGATACTTTCAAACTAGACAATTATTAATCACAAAGATTTACTTCATAATTTTCATTTCCTAAGATCTTTTTGGATTGCATAAATTATGTATTTTTTTAATTAATTACATACATCAATTCGAATTGCACATTTTACCATGCTGTAGGCTATATTAAGTTCCGTAATAATTACCAAATGCTTAATCTGGAAATAAAATTTAAATAATTATCATTATAATTACATACATTTTATTATAGTAAATGCAAAATGTATAAATAGTGACAAAGAAATATGTTAAGACTCTTTATTAATTTATTAATATACTTTATTTATAAAAAAAAATTTAATAATTTTGAACTGCTATTATAATAGCAACTTATAAAGAACATTGTATTGAA